CCTCTGAGAGTGCGTTGCTGCGCAGTGCAGCACACCTTGATCTGCAAGGTACATTCAGAATTACTGGCACTGCATCGCACCATCACAAACAGCGAGTGGTGCTGGCCATTGTGGTAATGTGTACAGGACCATGCACTTTCCTACAATGTGAGAGCGTTTTCTGCAGCGTTTTGCACAGTCCATTTAATATGATTTCCTATAGGACACATTCACATCTCCGCATTTTCACCCGGTGCGTTTTTTGGAGAGGGTCAGGGAGTTATTTGAATGCAAAAAGTTGCATTTTTGGCTCTATAGACTGGAAACGCTGCAGAAAAGCATGTAGTGCATTTTTGCCACGTTTTTGATGCATTTTAAATCTGCCTAGCAACAAGAAAAATGTTTAAAAACTGAAAAAAAACCCCAAAAAACCAAAACGCATCAAAAGTGTGGCAAAAACACAGGTGCAAAAACGCAAAACACAACGCAGACCGCAATGCAGCAATGGCTCAAACGCAGACTTAGGCTAGGTCCACATCTGTGTGGGTGATTGTCGCTGCGAGACCCCACCAGTTCCTGCAGCTGAAACCACCTGTATAGGAGATTGATCCTAATGGCACGCTGCCTGCACTGGAAATCACTCCTGCACTGAAAAGCGCATTGCACTTGTGGTTCCTGTGCGTGCTGCGACTTCTAAAATGCTGCAGGGGACCTTTTGTCTGCATTTCAGGAGGCACGATAGCCCATTAAAATGAATGGACTGCTGTGCCCCCACAAACTGAGGCTCACAGAGTCCCCCCAATCTACAGCAGAACATTATAGATGATCAAAAGGCGCTCTGTAGAATTCACAGACAGATTCCTGACAAGTAACAAAGGTAACAGTGACATGTGAAGTGATTGTGCTCATCTGTCACTGTGTGATCGCACTATATTATCACCTGGAAAGTGCTAATTCCCTGGAGATAACACTAGATGAGCTTGTTTTCATTCTGCCACTAATTAACATAGCCATCCCCCCCCCCCCCCCCCCCCCCCCCCCCCCCCCCCCCCCCCCCCCCCCCCCCCCCCCCCCCACCCCCTGTACGGATAACATGCAGTCTGCATTGCTGGAGAGACTCAGGGGGGAGATTTACTAAAACTGGAGCACTCACAATCAGTTGAGTCTGTACATGGGAGCCAATCAGCTTCTAGCTTCTGCTTGTTCAATCAAGCTTTGGCAATGAAACCTGGAAGCTGATAGGTTTCTATACAGAGCTGCACCAGATTTTGCACTTTCCAGTTTTAGTAAATAACCCCCACAATGTCCATGGAAAGTCACAATAAATATTCTTGTCCTTCCTGTGGTCTGTGGCTGGGGATGCCGTACTCGTAAGGCCTCATGCACACTGGATGCTTGGGCCATCTCTACTAACGCCATTCCTCCTGCCAGCAGCGTTTTGGCAGAGAAAAAAAATGCTTGACGCTTGTAAATCCATGTAATGTTTTTAGACAAGTGCTTGGGTATTAGTTCATTTTATTGGCCAGAATAATTATCTTCACCTTTGGGAACATGTTACATGTTCTGCCTGTTTTTAGGGTGATATATGTAAGGGTCCTTTCACACGGGCGTTTTTTTTTTTCTTCCGTTCAGTCACTTTTTTTCAAAGAAAAAACAGATGAGTTTACATCTGTTTTATCATCTGTTTTTTTCATCCGTTTACATCCTTTTTTCATCCATATACATTGGTTTACATATGTTTTTTCATCCATTTTCATACGTTTTTTTCATCCGTTTACACCTGTTTTTCATCCATTCACATTGGTTTACATTCGGTTTCATCCGTTTACATCCATTTACACCTGTTTTTGGTCCGTTTACATCCGCTGACATCCATTTTTAGGCTATTTTCTGCAGAAGAAAAATAGGGTTTTCTTCCGTTCAAAAAAAGGATGTCAACAGATAGAGACATTAATGGATGAAAAAAGATGTTCATCCGTTTACATCCACAACTCCACAGAAATACATGGGGGTCCGTTTTCCACCCGTAAACGGACAGAGGAGAGACGGACATATGAAACACCCGTGTGAAAGGGGCCTAATATGTTCCCAATGCTGCAGCAGCTGCCCGTTGCCCCCACCTCCCTGTGACAGCAGCAATGAGAAAAGTTCCCCGCACCAGCTGTCACTTTTTTTAACCACTTCCAGTGAGGCCATTGTAGGGTCGGGTGGCTGTTTATAAATGGCCTCCCCGCACCCTGCTTGTGTGCGCTCCCTGGGAGTGCGCAGCACCGCGATCTGGTGCCCGCTGTGTCCTCTGGACACAGTGGAACACCGATCGTCGGACGGGACCTCTGTGCGAGGTCCCGATCATGTGATCACTGATTGGCCAATCAGTGATCACATGCAGAGTAGTAAGCAAAATGTCACTTCTGACATCATTGCTTACTACGTGTGAAATCTATGAATGACAATCACAGCTCACACAGTAGCTCTCAATGGCTGCAAGAATGCAGCCAGAGAGAAGGAGAAATTATTGCTTTTCCAGCCTTTCTGGGTGAAAAAGCGATCAGTGTAAAAAAAAAAAAAAAAAAAAAAAAAAAAATCTTCCTCACCCCACAAGTAGTACAGTGTTACTATGGTGACACTGTATTGCTAGGGTGACAGTATGTAAAAAAACAAAACAAAAAGATAAATATAAAACATTTTTAAAAAAAGTAAAAAAAAAGTTTAAAAATTGTAATTTTTGGTTATAAACTAATTTGGGTTTTTTTTTTTTTTTACTAAAAAGATAACGGAATAAATTTTGGCCAAACTTTTTGGACTTTTTCATTTACATAGAAAAAAAAAAAATAAAAATCCCAGTGGTGAATAAATACCATCAAAATAAAGCTTTATCTGTCTCAAAAAAATGCTAAAAAATTAATTTGGGTACAGTGTTGCATGACCGCGCAATTGTCATTCAAAGTGTGATAGCACTGAAAGCTGAAAATTGGCCTGGACAGGAAGGGGGTAAAAGTGTCCACACAGGAAGTGGTTAAACAGCATGGCCATGCGGGGCTCCGCCCACAGTGAATGAATGGACTATAAGTCCCGACAGCCTTAGCGGCTGTCGGCTTGTAGTTTTCAATGAACTACCAAGGTGCTGTGAAATGCCGTTGTAGTTCAATGAATCTTCCTGTCAGTATATCTGCTTGGCTGTACATCCCGCAGGCAAGCAGACATACTGAGTGCCAGGAGACCTTTCTTACACCATAGCTGGTGCAATGTTTTCCAGGCTCCTGCAACCAAAAATAATAAATGAACATTATTTTTACCTGCAAAAAAATGTGTTTATTATTTTTGGTCAAAAATTGAACTTATCCTTTAAAGTGTTCCTAAATCCACAACAGTAAAATCAGTCTGTATATGCAGTAAATCATGCTTGTTATACTCACTGTGGAACCTAAGGGGTTAATCTATTGCATTGTGTAAAAAGGCTGTTCGATCCGGTCTTCTCTGCTCCTCTTGCTCAAATGTCCACCTCTTATCTCCTGATAAGACAGACTAAACCACAGCCATTCTGCACATGCTCAGTTTAGTGTGTATTGCAGGAGAGTTTTTCTTCTTCCTTTGGAGAGTGCATGTGATCAGCACAGGGCCAATCAGCACTGTCCAGACAGAGGTCAGGAATCCTGCATCCTCCTAGAGCAGAAAGAAAACTGCTGCTACAAGCTTTAACATTTGCTCTGCTGGACACTGCTAGAAGTTACAAGACTGCTCTAACTGCTGATGAGAAAAGGTATTTAGAAGTTTATATTTACAAAAATAATTGCATTTGCATGTTCTGTGTACTGTGGGAGACCAGAGAGTGTGAATGCAGGGTCCTAGGAGACCAGACAGTGAATGCAGGTCCGGCGAGACCCGGATATAGTGAATGCAGGGTCCGGGGAGACCGGATATAGTGAATGCAGGGTCCGGGGAGACCGGATATAGTGAATGCAGGGTCCGGGGAGACCGGAGATGCAGGGTCCGGGAGGGATATAGTGAATGCAGGGTCCGGGGAGACCGGATATAGTGGATGCAGGGTCCGGGGAGACCGGATATAGTGGATGCAGGGTCCGGGGAGACCGGATATAGTGGATGCAGGGTCCGGGGAGACCGGATATAGTGGATGCAGGGTCCGGGGAGACCGGATATAGTGGATGCAGGGTCCGGGGAGACCGGATATAGTGGATGCAGGGTCCGGGGAGACCGGATATAGTGGATGCAGGGTCCGGGGAGACCGGATATAGTGATGCAGGGTCCGGGGAGACCGGATATAGTGGATGCAGGGTCCGGGGAGACCGGATATAGTGGATGCAGGGTCCGGGGAGAGACAGGGTCCGGGGAGACCGTAGTGGATGCAGGGTCCGGGGAGACCAGATTTAGTGGATGCAGGGTCCGGGGAGACCGGATTTAGTGGATGCAGGGTCCGGGGAGACCAGATATAGTGAATGCAGGGTCCGGGGAGACCGGATATAGTGAATGCAGGGTCCGGGGAGAATGCAGGGTCCGGGGAGACCGGATATAGTGGATGCAGGGTCCGGGGGGGAGACCGGATATAGTGGATGCAGGGTCCGGGGAGACGGATATAGTGGATGCATAGTGGATGCAGGTCCGGGGAGACCGGATATAGTGGATGCAGGGTCCGGGGAGACCGGATATAGTGGATGCAGGGTCCGGGGAGACCAGATATAGTGGATGCAGGGTCCGGGGGAGACCGGATATGTGGATGCAGGGTCCGGGGAGACCAGATATAGTGGATGCAGGGTCCGGGTACCGAGACCGGATATAGTGGATGCAGGGTCCGGGGAGACCGGATATAGTGGATGCAGGGTCCGGGGAGACCAGATATAGTGAATGCAGGGTCCGGGGAGACCGGATATAGTGGATGCAGGGTCCGGGGAGACCGGAGGATGAGGGTCCCAGACCGGATATAGTGAATGCAGGGTCAGGGTCCGGATATAGTGGATGCAGGGTCCAGACCGGATATAGTGGATGCAGGGTCCAGGGAGACCGGATATAGTGGATGCAGGGTCCGGGGAGACCGGATATAGTGGATGGGTCAGGGTCCGGGAGACCGGATATAGTGGAATGCAGGGTCCGGGGAGACCGGATATAGTGGATGCAGGGTCCGGGGAGACCGGATATAGTGAATGCAGGGTCCGGGGAGACCGGATATAGTGGATGCAGGGTCCGGGGAGACCGGATATAGTGATGCAGGGTCCGGGGAGACCGGATTTAGTGAATGCAGGGTCCAGGGAGACCAGATTTAGTGAATGCAGGGTCCAGGGAGACCAGGATATAGTGAATGCAGGGTCCGGGAGACCATATAGTGATATAGGGTCCAGGGAGACCAGATATAGTGAATGCAGGGTCCGGGGGACCGGTTATAGTGAATGCCTCCAGGGAGACCATAGTGAATGCAGGGGTCCGGATGCATAGTGGGATGCAGGGTTCGGGGTTTAGTAACACTTTAAGTGACTCTTCTCCAGGAAGAATGAGTTTAAAGCGATTGTAAAGGATTTTTTTTTGTTTAATAACAAACACAGAGCAGCCCCAGTCCTCCTCTTCTCGGGTCCCCCTGGGCTCCTGGCCCCTCCTGCTTTTTGAGTATGTCCCCACCCCCCACAGCAAGCCACTTGCTAGAGGGTACTTGTGATAGCTCAATCCTGAGCTCCATTGTGTGCATCTATTGGCACAGACATTTGGTTTGGCCCCACCCCCCATGTTCTCATCACTGGATTTGATTGACAGCCAATGGCTCCTGCAGCTCTCACTGAGTCCAGTGAGGAGAAAGAGGGAGAGCTGCACTCAGACACTGTGCTGGATCACGATCAGTAAATATTTGGGGGAGGGGAGGGAAGGGAGCTGCACTTAAAATGCTTTTTTTACCCCAAAATAGAAGTTTAGGGTTTTTTCTCTTTTTTTTTAGAAATTATACTTACCTAGGTGGATACAGCATCCGCCTGATGCTGCATCTGACTCCTGCTCGCTCTAACACTGAGAACTGATCAAAGACTGCTGATCGCTCAGTTCTCAGTGCTCCGTGACTGTCAGTCACAGCTGTCTGCTCTGACCACCTTCCCCCTAATGAACTGTACTCCTGTGATCCACACGAGGAGTAGAACCAATCCAGCTTTGGCTGTCCTTCTTTAATGTACAGAATGCATTAAGGTAAAAGCCTTTACAACAGCTATCATTTTTTTTTTTAGCTCTGAACACAGCTCTATTTCAGCCAATGTGTACCCACAAAGAGAGGGGCATGATGACCCAGATTTGGAGCAAATGCCCACTTACTGTACTCTTTTGTGACAAACTTCTGAAGAAGCATCAGCATTTACAAGAGCATACAGGTACGTACTAGTATGGCAGGCTGTACACGTCACATGCAGTTCCTTGGAAGCAGGAAAGTCCCGGAAAATACACAAGTCATATAAAAATGCTTGTTAAAACCTTGTGTGTATTAACCCCTTGGGTTCGTTTAAAACTTCTCTTGGGTTCGTTTAAACTTCTCTTCCCTCTGAAGAGTGATCTGTGTTGGATCGCTCTTCAGAGAGAGATATTATGTCTCTTTTCCACAACCTGTTATAAACCCATAAACAGCCACAATTGTGCGCATTGCATGCAGCTGTGGGGCTGCCCTATTTATTGAATGGGTAATGTTCGGCTGGCAGTATTGTCCACTGAGCAGGACAGTGGGAATAAATTGTATTGCGGCATATGTACACCCCTGTCCCCTTTGCAGCTCAGCCGCATATTTTTACCCCCCCCCCCCCCATGCAAGTGTAAAAGAGGCCCTAGGGTGTTTCAGCATCTTTAACAGATGCAACATGAAGATTTTTATATTTCCCCTTACGCCCCCCAATACCCCTCCTGCTCAGGGGCGGACTGACCATTTGGAAACTCGGGCACCGCCCGAGGGCCCGGGTCAGTAAGGGGCCCCATGAGATGCCCCTGGTACCTTTCATAGGCTTTTTTGGGTGTGGTTTGAGTGTGGGCGAGGATACAGGGGCCCCATGATCCCCTATTGCCCGGGGGCCCCATGAGTTGTCAGTCCGCCCCTGCTGTTTGTTTCATACAATGCAAAAGATAACAGCTGCAGACTCCTTCAGGAACACTGGACTAGTACTGATACTACTGTCTAGGTTCACATCTCTGCTGCTGGGGAATACATGTGTAATCACGTGCATTCCTGACCCGCAGAGAAACAAACTGCACTTTAGTAGATGTGTAGGGGTGCCATTAAGGCCTCATGCACACTGGATGTTATAAAAATGCCAGTGCCGTTATCTGTAGAATGCTGCAATTAAATGGGAGGGTTTTTTTAGCTTTTTTGCATTAGCTTTTTTCAGCGGTTTTTAGTGTTTTTCAGCATTTGCGTTTTTTAGCAAAGTTATACTCCCACAAAATCTTCAGGGAAGATGCTCATAAATGCCGGATAGCCGCGTGTTTTTAGCATTTTTCAGCGTTAGAGCATTTCTACAGCTAAAAAAACTCCTCTTGAAACCCACTAGTTCTGGGTTTTTTTTTCCAGCCAGAAAACGTCCCAGCCAAAAAACGCTGACTAAAGCCTATGTGTGCATGGACACATAGGATCTCATGCTGGGGAATTTACTGGCTGTAGAAAAAAACACCAGAAGCCAAAAACAGCCGCTGTAAAAATGTCCAATGTGCATGAGGACTAAGCCCTGGTTCACATATGTGCGTTCCTGCAGTCCGCGTTTTGCGCAGACACGAGAGCCCATTCATTTGAATGGACTCCCGTGCCCCGGGACACGCAGGGAAGAAGTCCCTGCACTTCTTCTGAAAACGCAGCCCGTGCGGGAACCTCAGTTCCCAGTACAGTTGCAATTTCTAGTGCGGGCCCGCCCGCGGGTCTGCATTCTTCTGTGCGGGTGGTGCGGCTGCACGGATTTTTCGTGGATCTGCAGCGAGCACCACCCGTACAGATGTGAACCTAGCCAAAGGCTCCATGCACACGGGGTGTTTTGATAACGCTGGTAATGTTAGCTGAGTAAAGTTAAGTTCAAAACGTGAGTTTTTCAGTGTTTTTGCATTAGTGTTTAGCCACACTTTGGCGCATTTTTCTGTGTTTGAGTTTTTTAGTGAAAAAAAAATAAATTTTTTTTGCTCAAAAAAAGTCCAGAAACGCTGGTTTGCCGCATTTTGCTGCATTTTTCAGCGTTAGAGCGTTTTTACAGCTAAAAGAACTCCTCCAGAAACCCACTAGTTCTGGGTTTTTTTCCAGCCAAAAAACACTGATTCCAGTCTATGTGTGCATGGTCACATAGGATGTCATGCTGGGAGGTTTACTGGCTGTAGAAAAAAAAAAAAACCCACCAGAAGCCAAAAACAGCCGCTGTAAAAACATCCAGTGTGCATGAGGACTAAGGCCGGCCATACATAGGTCAATTTGATAACGATTTTTCGTTCGAAAATCGGACCGAAGAATAATCGGCCGATTTTCGCTCTGTTAGTGGGGCAATGTCACCGGCCGATTTTCGTGGTTCCTCCCCATTTTGTTTATTGGGAATGCTGGAAAATTTGTGAAAAATGACCAATTTTTCAAAATCATTGGTGGTACCATCGGATTACAGAACAGACAATGTTTTTGATTTTCTATCGAAAAATCGTTCGGAATTCGACCCATGTATGGCCTGCTTAATTCTTAAGGCTCGTTCACACTTGACTGTTTCTCCAACTCTTGCCAAACGCCCCTATAGCGTTTGAGAAGCATTGGTCCAGCGTTTGCGGAGCGTTTTTTAACGCTCCGCAAACACCGCATGCGTGGTTTAGCAGTGGTTGCTAGGCATTTGCCAAGTGTTAAAAACGCCCCACAAACGCCTATAATGAAGTTTAAATGGTGTTAACGCTCCGCAAACGCCCCGCAACCGCGTTGCGACTGCACCGCAACTGCCGGCCGGGCATTTGCGGAGCGGCACCATAGACTTGAATAGGAGGCTTCAACTCCTCCTAACTCGACCAGAACAGGGGCGGACTGACCATTTGGAAACACGGGCATTGCCCGAGGGGCCCGGGGTCAGTATGGGGCCCCAATGAGTCGCCCCTGGTACCTTTTTTCATAGGCTTTTTTGAGTTTGGGTAAGGACACAGGGGCCCCATGATCCCCTATTGCCCGGGGGCCCCATGAGTTTGTCAGTCCGTCCCTAGACCACAGGCGTCCATTTTGCTGCGACGCAACGCAACATTAACGCTCCTGTGTGAACAGCACCATGTGCTGCAATGTGCAGAATTTTCACAGAAGTTTGGAAAACGGTAAAAACGCTTCCCAAACGCCTGTCTTCTGCTTGCAAACAAGGCTAGTGTGAACGTAGCCTTAATGGCATCCCACACGTTGGTACCCACAATGTGTTTTCATGCGCACAAAACCTCATAGCGATGCAGCACCATGCGGCTTGCTGCGCGGCTATTTAAAAAAGGGTCAAGCATTCCTTCCCCTGCATTTCTCGCAGGTAGGGCAGCCCACTGAAATGAAGAGATCTAAATGGAGCCTTACTGCAGATTGACTCTGCTTGCGGTATATCCCCCTGCGACTCATTCGTGAATACAGTTGCTTGTGTTCTCTTAATGCATCCACAATTAGAGAAGTGTAAGTCTTACAGGTAAATGATTCTAAAAGGTTCTAAACTTCAGGGTTGCCAAGTTTCAAAAATCCCCGTAGAATTTCCCGCGCTGTTGTCTTTGTTGAGCTGGTGCCAGGTACTCTGGCACATGGGTACGTTGGCGCAGACATTAAACCTCTCAGGGGGTCGGAAGGCGGCGAGCTGCTAATTTGCATATTATCATCGCTCCCAGAGGCAGGAAACCGAAAAGAATTATCGCAATTATGTCTCGAGATTGTAACAGCTCCTTCACTGCAGCTTATCTACAGATTATCATTTGGACCGGAGTCCTTATTTAAACAAGTCCAGCGCTCTTGTAGTGTACAGGCTAAACCAGGCGCAGCGTGCTGCGTCTTCACAGCCTGATGGAAAGGAACGCTCTGCCATCTAATGGTCATAGAAATTCTTGTATTTGTATAGTAGAACAATAGCAGACGTAGAAAGCAAAATAGTTTTTTCCCTTTTGGATAAAGTAAGGGAGGGCCATAACCCCAGTCAGATATTTTTTTTATATCTATGCCCCATTGGGGAGATTTTCCTTCACTTCCTGTCCCATAGTCAAAACAGGAAAAGAGAAGAAATCCCTCCAAGGTGAAATAACCCCTGGTTGTCACCAGAAGATTGGAAGATTTCCCTTCTAATTTTGTCATGTGATAATCAAAAATTAGGAATTTTCCTTTCACTTTCACTCTCAGTGATAACAGTACAGAGGACAAATATAGAGGGTGAATCTCCCTGACAGGAGGCAATACAAACCTGATAGGGGTTCTAAGCCATCTCCATTTATCCCAAACTAAAAAAAAAAAGTCTTGACTATTTCCTGCCGCCCTATAGCAGATATAGAGTGGTGCGCAAAATCACTTCTGGGTAGGGGGTCTGCGACACTTTTCGGCCTCGGCTATCAATCACCAGGTCCTGTACGGCACCCGGTGATTGAGGAGCTTTTCTGACGGAGGGAGAGAACTGTATGTAAACAATACAGCTCTCTGCCCTGTCAGCTCCTCCACACTGTTTTGCATGGCTCTGCATAGCAGAGCCATACAAAGCAGTGTGCTTACAGTGAAGCACACACACACACAGCACACAGTAAAACAGCACACAGTTAACCTTTGGTCGCCCCAGATGTTAACCCCTTCCTGCCCAGTGTCATTAGTACAGTATCAGTGCTTTTTATTAGCACTGATCACTGTATTGGTGTCACTGGGGATGTCACTGACATCAAGTCAGTACCCCCAGTGTCAGAATGCCTGCCGCAGTCCCGCTATAAGTCGCTGATCGCTGCCATTGCTAGTACAAAAAAAAATAAAAATCACAGTATACTGTATATACACCGCCATTTGTAAACGCTATAAGTTTGACATAAACCAATTAATTTACACATATTTGGATCTTTTTTTAGCAAAGACATGTAGGAGAATACATTTTGGCCTAAATTTATGACGAAATTAGATTTTTAATATTTCTAACTGGACATGTTTAACAGCAAAAAGTCCAAAAAATTGTTTTTTTCTCAAAATTGTTGGTCTTTTTTTTTTTTTTTAGGGCACAAAATAAAAAACACACAGCCAATAAAATACCACTGAAAGAAAACTCTATTTGTGGGGAAAAGAAGGATGTAAATTTCATTTGGGTGCAGTGTTGCATTACTACACAATTGTCAGTTAAAGTAACGCAACGCTGTAAAGCCAAAAATGGCCTGGTCAGGAAGGGGGAGAAATCCTCTGGAGGGCCCGTGGTTAAACCTTTTTTTTTTCAGAAGGTTGGAGAAACCTTCCCAGCCTTATTGCTGGGACGAGGTCACCCAAGGTGGGGATGATAAAGTGTCCATCAAGCTTTTTAATGTAGCAATACAAAATCTGTCACGTACCCGTATGCAGAGCCCGAGATGATGAGAGTGGCCTCTTCCATAGTTCCCGTCCCTAGAAGCTGAGACAGGGTCTTCAGGAGCAGGGGCGGACTGACAACTCATGGGGCCACTGGGCAATAGGGGATCATGGGGCCTCTGTGTCCTTGCCCAAACTCAAAAAAGCCTATGAAAAAGGTACCAGGGGCATCTCATGGGGCCCCCTACCGCCCCCCGGGCCCTCGGGCAGTGCCCAAGTTTCCAAATGGTCAGTCTGCCCCTGTTCAGGAGTGATGGGAGAGCACTAGTTGCAAGGTGTAGATACTGAAAACAGGAAATTGGGAGCAGTATCAGGTGAGCAGGGGTAAAGCTGGTGGTGCACCAGGGATTCCCTAGCAAAAATAAAACAAATCCTTCTTCACATAGGCGAGATAGACTAGGGTCAAAGGACAGATGTCCCCATATACCCACCACAGGGAAATGTAAGGCCTTGCTGCCCTCTACGACCGGGGGAGTCCAGCAAACTGCAAATGATGAAAAGTAAGGCGGTGCACCAGACTAGTGCATTATCTTTTGGAGTTTATTAATGGTATGAAAAGCTAAAAACATACTCACAAACATGTATGATATCAAGGCATGTAAAGCCACCACTTCGTGGCACAGTGAATGTAGAGACCCAACAGACACCAACGCCAGTAAAGCCGCTTATGGACCTAGAGGTGACTTCCATTAACGTCTATTGGCAGAAGTCGGATAGAAGTCACATTGAAGGAGTGCAGCAACCTTTTCTAAAGTCGGAGCGACATCAGTAGTGCTAATTAAGACCGCTCTCATTGACTAACATGGGATTCCACATGTCATGGGACTCGGGGTCTCACAAGTCGGATCCAAAGTTGCGGCAGTGTGAACCGAGCCCAAAAGCGGAGATGACTTGTATAAAAATAAAGCAGCATTGTTTGTATTGTGTTCTGGGCTGTTTCTTTATATAGAAAACACCAACACAAATAAACAGCAGACTGTACTGCCCTCTAGTGGGATCTGGTTAAAATACATACAATTGGTTGTAGAACCAGTAACAACTGTTTTATACAAGAAGTAGAATTCATCAGTTTTATTGATTTATTTATTTGCAGGTGTTTATTAACCACTTGCCCTCCAGTGGATTTACCCCCCTTCCTGACCAGGCCATTTTTTTTGCAATATGGCGCTGCATTACTTTAACTGACAATTGCACGGTCATGCAGCGCTGCACCCAAATGAAATTTATTTCCTTTTTTCCCACGAATAGAGCTTTCTTTAGGTGGTATTTGATTGCCTGTGCATTTTACATTTTTCCACTATAAACAAAAAAAGGCCAAAAATTTTGGAAAAAAAAAAAACAATATTTTTGACTTTTTGCTATTAACCTCCCTGGCGGTATTCCTGAGTGTAGCTCGGGGTAAAGTTTCAGTACCACAAGCGGTAACCCCGAGCTACACTCGGGAATACCCTGCAGCATTGCTCCGGGATCTGTTCTTCACTTACCTTGTCCTTCGCTCCTGCGATGTCCCTCCTGCAGCGTCCCTGGCAATGTCCTCCGGCGGATGCCGGCATCTGTCTTCTGGGTTCTGTTCCCTGCGACGTCGGGACGTACGGGGACGGAACTGGCGGGAAATTTGAAAATGACAAAAAGTGACATTTACTAAATACACTAAAATCACATAGTAAAACATTCCTGTATCAAACCATTTCACATACATTTTGTCCCGAGTGCTTTGTCCTGTGCCCTGCCTGCATTTTTACTGTTCTTTCTGCCTGGAAACTGAGAAACATCCATGGCGTCCAAAAAGCGTCCCTTTAGGTCAAAAGCGGTTTTAGACCGGCTAGAGAACAGCGATAGTAAATTAGAACCACTTGCAGAATTGAGTGGTAATGATTCGTGGGGGAAATTCGTCATCAGACACTGAAAACGATTTTGTGACTTTGCTCAGTGATGTGCGAACTTGGCGCTATATTTCAAATTTCAGTGTTTTTGGTTTGATTATATTATTGAATTAAATTTATTATGTTATTATTTTTTATGACTATTTATTATATTATAATTTATGATTTTGTGTTTCAAATTTTAACATACCCGGGATGTTTAATAGACTCTTGTTCGGACAGATTTCAGTGAGTTATTCCTAAAAATTACAGGCCTACAATAAAAAAAAAAACCTACATATTTCCATGCAAAAAAATGTACCGCTTTGAGCACAGAAATACGGACCTATTCAGACTGTTAGGGAGGGTACACCTGTCCAGTAAAATTTTTTTAAAAAAAATCAAATTTCGTCGTAAATTTAGGCCAAAATGTATTCTGCTCCATGTCTTTGCTAAAAAAAATCCCAATACGTGTAAATTAATTGGTTTACATGAAAGTTATAGTGTTTACAAATAGCGGTATATATACTGGGTTTTTAATTTTTATTATACTAGTAATGGTGGCGATCAGCGACTTATAGCGGGACTGTGGCGGGCATTCTGACACTGGGGGGGAACTAACTGCCACTAACATCACAATGACACCAATACAGTGATCAGTGCTAATAAAAAGCACTGACACTGTACTAATGACACTGGGCAGGAAGGGGTTAACATGTGGGGCGATCAAAGGGTTAACAGTGTGTTGTTTTACATCATGTGCTGTGTGTGTTGTAATAGGGAAACATGCTTATGTGCAGAGAAATACACAGCAGCATGTCCTTGCTGGCAGGAGTGCTGTGTTGTTTACACACTGGTCATGCGCCTGTCAGTGATACTCAGCAATCGCCGGGTGCTGGCGGGAAATCTCTGGCCAGGACCCTGTGATTGACATCTGTAGCCGCCAATGGTGCTGCGCGTATGCGCGCCCCCTGCTGGGAAATGAAAATGACCTATATGTACGCGATTTTGCACAGCCCTGCCGTCCTGTAGCAGTACTTCTACTATGGGGTGGAGGGGAAGCAGATAACATCAACAATATACACAACACTTTACATGTTGTACATTCCCATCAGTCCTCACCCTAAAGGAGCTTACACTCTAAGGTCCCAGCTCACATACATACACATACTAGGGCCTACTTAGACAGGAGCCAGGTAACCTACCAGTGCGGGAGGAAACTACACAAGCACAGGGAGAGAATGCAAACTCCATGCAGGTAGTGTCAGATTCAGGCCAAGGACCCCCGTGCTGCCAGGCGGATGTGCTGCTAACAATTACATCACTGTGCTGTTTGTAGTACAAATAAAGAAAGTAACCTGGGCTGCAATGCTGGTCTCTCAGAGCCCCAGAATGGTGAGTGAGCGTTGTCAGGCGAGCAATGTGACAGGATCAGCAGGTGAACAGGAAGACAAAATATTATTAAAAAGCCTGAAAAAGTTCATGTAACCACCCAGTGGCTGGTGAGCTGCAATATATTACATTTTGTTCCTGGGTTTAGATATGCTTTAAAATTTACATCGGTGCTACTGCAGGGGTCAGGAGTACGTAATACAGAGTGCACAGGTCAGGAGTAATACAGGGTGCACAGATCTGGAGCAATGCCGAGTGCAGAGGTTAGGAGTAACGCAGAGCACACAAGCCAGGAATAACACAGGGTGCAGAGGTCAGAAGCGATGTAGAGTGCAGAGGTCAGGAGTAATGCAGGGTGCAGAGGTTAGTAATAATGCAGAATGCACAGGTCAGGAGTAATGCAGAGTGAAGAGGTCAAGGGTAATGCAGAGTGCATAGGTTAGGAGTAATGCAGAGTGCATAGGTTAGGAGTAATGCAGAGGCCAGGAGTAATGAAGAGTGCAGAGGTCAGGAGTAATGCAGAGTGTAGAGGTCAGGAGTAGTGCAGAGGTCAGTATTCATCCAGAGTGCAGAGGTCATTAATCATGCAGAGAGCAGAGGTTAGTAGTAATGCAGAGGGCAGGGTTTAGGAGTAATGCAGAGTGCACAGGTTAAGATTAATACAGAGTGCAGAAGTAATGCAGAGTGCATTGATCAGCATTAATGCAGAGGTCAGTAATCATGCAGAGTGCAGGGTTCAGTAGTAATGCAGAGTGCAGAGGTCAGGAGTAATGCAGTGGGTGTGTGCAGGGGTCAGGAGTAATGCAGAGTGCAAAGGGCAGTAATAATGCTGTGGGTGTGTGCAGGGGTCAGGAGTAATGCAGGGGTCAGGAGTAATGCAGAGGGTGTGTGCAGGGGTCAGGAGTAATGCAGAGTGCATAGGCCAGTAATAATGCTGTGGGTGTGTGCAGGGGTCAGGAGTAATGCAGGGGTCAGGAGTAATGCAGAGTGCAGAGGTCAGGAGTAATGCAGTGGGTGTGTGTGCAGAGGTCAGGAGTAATGCAGAGTGCAGCGGTCAGGAGTAATGCAGTGGGTGTGTGCAGGGGTCAGGAGTAATGCAGTGGGTGTGTGCATGGGTCAGGAGTAATGCAGTGGGTGTGTGCAGGGGTCAGGAGTAATGCAGTGGGGGGGGTCAGGAGTAATGCAGAGTGCAGAGACCAGTAATAATGCTGTGGGTGTGTGCAGGGGTCAGGAGTAATGCAGAGGTCAGAGAGTAATGCAGTGGGTGTGTGCAGGGTCAGGAGTAATGCAGAGTGCAGCGGTCAGGAGTAATGCAGTGGGTGTGTGCAGGGGTCAGGAGTAATGCAGTGGGTGTGTGCAGGGGTCAAGAGTAATGCAGAGTGCAGGGGTCAGGAGTAATGCAGAGTGCAGAGACCAGTAATAATGCTGTGGGTGTGTGCAGGGGTCAGGAGTAATGCAGAGGTCAGGAGTAATGCAGTGGGTGTGTGCAGGGGTCAGGAGTAATGCAGTGGGTGTGTGCAGGGGTCAGGAGTAATGCAGAGTGCAGAGGTCAGGAGTAATGCAGTGGGTGTGTGCAGGGGTCAGGAGTAATGCAGTGGGTGTGTGCAGGGGTCAGGAGTAATGCAGGGGTGTGTGCAGGGGTCAGGAGTAATGCAGTGGGTGTGTGCAGGGGTCAGGAGTAGTCAATTGCATTGCTCACCTTTTTCTTACTTCCGTGTTAATTCTATGCATCCCATGGGTGCAGGTTGTAAGGCTTTGGTAAAATGATGCCTGCCATATTGTATTGGACGACAGTGCATTGGTGTGAACAGGCCCTACACAGAGCAAGGCTTTCTCTCTCGTGTTCCTATGAAGGAGGCCTTGGGGCCCGGTGACAACAATGAGCAGCACTAACACATAGGCTGCTGGTGTGTGCTGTGTGACGCCACGCCATAGCGCCCATCCCGGCACAGCGCACCGCTTACTTGTATTTCCCAGCTTTATTGAATCCT